GATCGTCGACGCTTACAGTAAGTGGCCGGAGATTTTTCCTACGAGGAATACTGACACGAAAACTACGATTCGAATTTTGAGAAGGACGTTTGCTAGGTTTGGTATTCCAGTTACGATGGTTAGCGACAATGGCCCACAATTTCGATCAAACGAGATGGACACATTTACGAAACAAAATGGTATTCGCCACAAATTCACGGCGCCATACCATCCAGCAAGTAATGGGCAGGCTGAACGTTATGTGCAAATGCTGAAGAAGGGTTTGCGTTGCATGGCAGATGAGCCTGGTGATTTGGATTTGAAGTTGGATCGCCTGCTGATACAATATCGAAAGGCACCGAACAGTACAACAGGTCAAAGTCCAGCTGAACTCATGTTTGGGCGACAAATCCGAACCAAATTGGATCTCATGAAACGAGATCTGACCACTGAGATGAATGAAAATTCGTCGAATGAACCAGTATCACGAGAATTTGTATCAGGTGACAAAGTACAGATACGGTCATACCGAAACTTACGAGTTAAATGGGAATTTGGAACTGTATTCGCACGATGTGGCCTTACACATTATGATGTAGAAGTGGATGGCAGACATCGAAAATGTCACGTAAACCAGATGCGACGAACGCTTTGTGAAGGAGGAGATGATACCCATGCAGATCATTCTGATTCGGCCTTAGAAGCCGCACCAAGTACATCGCAACCACATCCAACCATTATGTCGAAATCAGCCGAGACAAGACCAGCGTGTGTTTCTACCGATTCTTCGGTGATTGACTCAATTTCACCCATGAGATTACCGGTTGGTCAATCAACACCTTATAGGCAATCAAATACTTGGCAACAATCACCGCAGCAGCAGGAGTCTGAAACTGACCAAGAACCGACGTTGGTACAACCAGATTCAGCAGATATTCTTCGTAGATCAGGCCGATTGCGTTTACCGCCAAACCGCTTGAATTTATAGTTGTAATTAAGGAGGGAGGATTGTTATGTCTCTGAATTAATGATACGTATAATGCATAGTTGGCATCGCTCTAATTTTTCGAGATGTAATTTTTTTATTACGAATTGAATAGAACGAAAAAGTAACAACTTGCAACTTATTTCATTAAACGTGAATATATAAAAGTGTCTACCTACATTTCACAAAAATTTGTCAAATAAAAAATGATAATTTTATCACAGCGAGCAACTTCGACATCAATGAGGAAACAGTCACAGAATAAGAATAAGTAGACCATATTCTGTGGAAACAGACGAAAAAAATTCAACGCACAGTCTTTTTTCAAAAGCGAGATACATCGACAGAAGAAATCCAAATTCCTCGTTTACCTATCACTATAGATAACGACCAGATAACTGACTTTAACAGCCTAAGTACCTGCTGATAATCCTCCTAAGTAAGTTCCGGTATCTACCATTCAATATAATATACCTATGCCGTTTTTTAATTCTCCACCAGCGAGCTACAATACCATCCTAACCAATCGTCTAGTGAAATCAAAAAACAAGCCTGAATCTTTGGGACAAAATCATACCGTTGTTACTGCTGATCTTGCAATATACAACACAGCACAAGAGATACCTAATGTGGAGTAACCCCCAAAATTTACAGGGAAAGGTACCTATTTGTACCTATATATTTCACCAAAGAACTGAGATACATGGAGTTAATGAATTGTTTGAGATTTTACAATGCAACTCGACGGAATGCATTTGTAAACTAAACGGCCTAAATAGCTAGTTTTGGTATTCGGAGAGAAATTTCTTAGTAAAGTACGCATCGCTCCTTGTTTAGCGAACGCTGCTGACTATCCTTCCCTCTCCGTCTCACTCGCGACTCCCGACTCGGCGAGGTCGGTAGGTTTTTACTTAAATTACCGTTAACTTTTTTATTATGAAAAATTCACGGTAATGTTATAGAAAATAAAATAATCACAATGCTTTGGAGCATCGAATGAGCTATAAATATTGGAAATCGATGTCGTGAAATAAAAAGTTATGAGAGTTCAAAGTGCGCACTTTTCATCTGCTACACGAATTTTGGAAGTTGACGGTCATTTTTCTAAAAACTGTGCATAACAAGGTTGGCAAATATGAATGCTTTAGATTCTGCTATAAATGTACTTTCATTTTACAAAAGGAATTATTGATGTATATCGCTTAGTTGCTGAGAAAATAAATACTTTCGGTGGTCTAGTCGCGCGCCCGAAAATGAGTAAATTTCAACTTTAGCGGCCTATAACTTTTGTCAGGACCACGGGAAAATGTCGTAAAGCGAGATTCTGAAGGTTCAAGCATTTCTGAACAAAATGGTGTGGGTCCCAATTCTTTCTACTCCGAAAAAATTTTTTGAACGATTTCGCGGCTCTCTCCGCTGCACTATTAGAAGAGTTATACCTACCCCTGTAGTTGAAACACTCTGTATTATCTAAGATGGGGACTATTATACCAATTTTCCAATCATTGGGAACTTTTCCCGTAATCCAAGCTTTATTAAAGATTTCGGTCTTCTATTCCACGGTTATCTATATTTTTACCATTTCTGGCGTTATTCTATCGTACCCGGCTGCTTTTCCATTCTTTATTCTTTTCACTATCTCTAAAGCTTCTACTTTTATTGGGCATGTCCCTCCAATTTTTGGGTTCTTCACAAGGTGTTCGATTTCTTCTTTATTATTAAATAACTCTTGAAAATACTCCTCCCATCTCTTTATTATTCCAAACTCGTCTGTAATTATTTTGTTGTCCTTTCCTTTGATATACTTTAACGTGTCGTTGTTAAGTTTCCTCAAGTTCTTAAGTATTTTATAAAAGAGTTTTTGATTGCTGTTATTATTTTCTTCTATTCTCTTTCTGTTCAGCTGTTGTTGTTTATATTCTGAATAGGTTTCTGCAGTTTTTCTACTCAAATACTGCTTCCATTTTTCTTTCTTTTTTTGAACTTCTTCCCTGAGCTGTCCATAGTACTATTTCTTTATATTATTATATTATATTATATTATATTATACAGGGTGTCCCTAAAAGGTCTGTACAACGCGCTACCAGGGGTTCTTGGTATCAAAATAGGACGATTTAACCCAACTTACCTCTATCCAAAAGTGCTTCGGTATAAGGCGCTATCTACCGCCAAAGATTTTAAAAAAAAATCGTTATTTTTATTTTATCGGAAAATGGTTTTGCCGATTAAAATGAAATTCGGGATCTGAATGTCTAATGTAAAAAGGGTCTTTGTGATATCATCGTTTTGATTGTAGTTGCTATGTAGGTGGTAAAATACTGACCAGCCACATCTGAAGAGGTCTAAAACTTTTTAACTACTATTTTGACGGTTCTGAATTTTTAGACACTGATAGACAGTTTACTTGCAAGCATTTTTTGTCTCTTGATGAATATCGCTATCTGTGATGGTTTACGAAAAAAAAAAAAATTTAGGCATGATGAATGGCATGCACCATACATGCGATTGTTCCTAAAAAAATCAGAAGATGGCTGTGAAACAGAGTGGCGTAACGTTTGTTTGTTGTTTCTTCAACTTTAACAATTTACATTTTGCTTGAAGACTTAAAATTTCATTGTTAAAATTGTAATATGGCCTTTCAATACAGTAACGTAGAGTTAACTGATATGCTATTAGTGTTTGGATACTGTCGTGGAAATGGTCGCAAAAAAAAAACGTAAATTGTTAAAGTTTAAGAAACAACAAACAAACGTTACGACACTCTAAGATTTCACAGCCATCTTCTGATTTTTTGAGGAACAATCGCATGTATGGTGCATGCCATTCATCATGCCTAAATTTATTTTTTTTTCGTAAACCATCACAGATAGCGATATTCATCAAGAGACAAAAAATGCTTGCATGTAAACTGTCTATCAGTGTCTAAAAATTCAAAGCCGTCAAAATAGTAGTTAAAAAGTTTTAGAGCTCTTCAGATGTGGATGGTCAGTATTTTACCACCTACATAGCAACTACAATCAAAACGATGATATCACAAAGACCCTTTTTACATTAGACATTCACATCCTGAATTTCATTTTAATCGGCAAAACCATTTTCCGATAAAATAAAAATAACGATTTTTTTTTAATCTTTGGCGGTAGATAGCGCCTTACCGAAGCACTTTTGGATAGAGGTAAGTTGGGTTAAATCGTCCTATTTTAATACCAAGAACCCCTGGTAGCGCGTTGTACAGACCTTTTAGGGACACCCTGTATATATTGCTTCCATTTTTGAATTTTCACGTATTTAAATCTAAACAAACTAATTGAAGTGACTAATAATACTGTGCACTTGCTTATTAGCAATTAATTACGTCCGTTGTACGTTTACCGCGATCACTATTCTATTAGTGAGATATTAGCTAGGCTATTTTGTACTTACAATACTTAAATTTTTCTAGGCCGACTGCACTCGATTTTAACACCTCAAACTAGTAATTTCGTACCCAGCCGACACTGTCGACTATTGAGGCAGATTGATACAGGGTAGCTAACTGCATAATGTGTCATGCTCCATAGATCCAGTGGCGTAACTAGGTAGGTGCCGAAAAATACCGTGTTACGCCACTGCAGAGATCCCCTATGTATCTGTCAGAGAGGTTACTATCACTAGGTATATGGCATAGTTCCATTGTTAGGAGTTATCAATTTTTAATAATAATAATGAACTAGTATACCTGACGGTACTTCATTCACAGGTTATTTTCGTAGAACATTTACCTTGACGTTTTGTCACTCATCATAATAACAATAATAGTTTATTGACCAACAGAACGCATCCATTTACAGGTCAATATAATAATATATAGAACATATAAAGCATTGTGCATTAAACAACAAAACAAAATTGAGACAAAAAAATGAAAAGGGAATTTACAAAAAACAAAAACAATAGCTAATAACTGCTCATGGATCATTCAAAGATTCCACGAAATGCATGTTAAATGATGTTTAATATTTGAGATGTAATAGTTAACGCTCATTTTCTTTTCCAGACTGTCGAAGAAATGTACCAGCTTGCTGATAGAATTATGGGAATAACGACACCAGAAGCTGAACAGTAAAACTAAGTAGGGTACACTTTATAAGTGTTATTGATTCTTACCGTTGTATAAACCAGTAAATAAAAGTTGTATTTAAGAATTGTATTTTTACCCAATTTCTATAAGAAATTATTTATGTAAGCTAATAAATAGTCACGGGAGACTTGACTTGGTATTTAATTTATTTACACTCCTAATTAACGAGAGTTTTCGCCGAGAGTATATTGCCTATCCGAGTAATTTTACCTCACATTTCATTAATGTTAAAGTATCGCCTGCTTCATGGGAGTTAGATTAAAAATAATTTCTACAAACTGACCCGATGGCAGAAGTGGTTTCTCTTCTCAATGACCATTATGAATATTTCCTAACCAGGCTCGGAATTACACACATTGCATAGGTATTGTATAGAATACCTGAATTATACAGATTTCCCGCAACACACGCACTTAAAGGAATAAAAAATTGAAGATTGTACTCGTAGATTTAAATTTACAGTTAAGTTTGATAATAATTTGGTGGTCTTCTTTTTTCTTAAGTCACCCCTGCTACTTCATTCTGCCTTCTGGTTACTGGTCTGTCATGCTAGAGCCTCAAAAAACTGAAATACACATATAAATATACCTTTTGGTAAAAGTCAACCAAATAGTTTTACGCAATTTACTACTGCATCTGTCTCCAAGTTGTAGGAACAGGGAATTAATCAAAGAACACGTACTACCCTTATCAAATGTGACTACTTTATTGTGGAAATTGGATGCCGAAGTTGAATACGGAAAAGATATTATATTATATCATTTTTATATGGAATACCGCGTGAATTACGGTTCGTGCGGGAAGGGTTTTTCAGAATTAACCTCTAATGATAAAGTGAAAATGTATTGGTTTTAGCATAGAAGGTCGAAAATTCATTTTTAAAATCTGGTGTCAAACTTTATGGGGATATTGATAAAGAGATCACGCACCCACATCACACATTAAATAAATTTGGATTGAAGTGCAGCTGGAAATAGTCAAGCACACAGAGAAATAACATTTGCATGGAAATTGGAAAATTTACATTTGCTTTTTTATTTCACATTACCACTTAATCAAGTTTCGGTTTCGTGTTGGCTACATACGTATTCCGTTCGTAAACTAATTTTTGTCTGTTTACTTAAATTATTAACTACGTCTCCACAGAAAACAACTCAGTTACAACGAAAACGAAGTTTCTGAACGTATTGGTAGCATCAGTTTATATTCACAAATGCATAAAGTCATTAGATAATTACTAACTACTATTTATTATTAGTAGGTAGCCACGGCCAAATCCAATGAAGGTAATTAATAAACAAATATGAAACTGTAATTAAGCACCCGCCCTCGATTAGATAAATGCTGGAACATTAGCATTTTACCAATTACCTACACCAATAAGGTCGCCATTAAAATTGATTTGCTGAAATCTATCTTCCATGCGGACTAAATAAGTGCAATAAACCAAACAGTAAGGTGGAGAAAATTTATAAGGATTGTGGCTCTGAGACTAAATAGTCGTTCGGGAATTAATTAAAAGAAAGCGAGAGCGGGTTTGTTGTAAAATGTTAGTTCATTGTACTTTCCACGAAAATAAGTAGGCACTGCAGTCAGTAGGCCGCGTAATAATGCTATCTAGCTACAAAAATTAACTGCTGCTATAAAAGTTATTTTAATAGGTTCAGTTCTTGTCACTTCGGTTCCGAACTGATCTGATTTAAAACAGTTCTTTCAAATACTACTTATGTAACGGAACACCTGTTTTGGTACACGAATACGATCAGAATTAATGAACACCGTACATTGATAGAAGTTATCACCTTTATTGAACACCCGGTACATGGTGGAACTCAAGCGACCGCTTTTTTTCACGAAAAACTGTAGCTTCCGGGCCTATTTATTTGTGTTGTAGGAGTTGGAAATGGAGAGTAGAAGTAAGAGGTTTAATTTGCACTGTGGTAAGGAAAACAAAACGTCGTATCTAATGGTTCAGTTTTCTAATTCTTGCGCATAAATAGCGGTAGCTAATCAGATGTGTTGCAACAAAGCTCGTCAGATTAGATTGCTGATTTGAAGCGTACTAACGTTATCACCCGAGTATGCCGTCCGGCTGGAAAATCCGGCGTTCCCTTTCCGCACTTTAGCAATCCTATGTAAGGTAACAGCGTGTTTTAGTTTAAAACAAAATCTTAAAAGTAGCAACACAAGAATTGCGAAGATTCACTTGCATAAGACTTCAGAAAATCGAGTAATTCCTCGTTAGCCGTAATTACGATTAGTGATCCAGCAATCAATACGTTTCAAACAGGAAGTAACCGCACCCTTGTGCCTCAACCTAATTTACGCAGCACAATGACCGCATTAAATATGACTGCGACTGGAACATAAATCGCTACTCAAGAGAAACTTGGGTACGATTGGATCACACCCAAGTATCCAGTGGCATGCCCCCTTTTTAAGCGGCCCACCAGAACATCCGCCGTGAAGGATGATTTTGGCTGAGAAGAGGAGTAGAATCGAAATTCTGGACCTGTTCTGTGAAGAAATCTAAAGAGACATTGTAACGGAAACCCGGTTCACAGTTCGAATTTTAGATATGTGTAAAATTGGATATGTACCGCTTTATACGAATAATGGGCGCGGCCTGTCCAGCTTCATTGGTTCCCTTTTGCCAGGCCTAGATAAACGTAATAGATAAAAATGAGGGCCTGCGATTGGTGCAAAGGAGACGCGGGTCGCGAAATTTGCGTTTGTTCCGTATTAAGGTGGCGCGGTCGGTATGATACAGGAAATTATTTTTCGCTAGAAATTTTCTAAATCGCAGAAGAGGAATGAATTGAATTCAAGTGAAGTTCGTGACGTATTATAAACACGTCTCACGGGGAATTTTGTTGGTACTAATGGGCACGCAAGTTCGATCGCGATTGTGGAATAAACGTTTCCTCAAAGGATTTTTCAACACTGTAGATTGACCTCGAAGAAAGAGTGTCGGTAAAAACGAATTAATCGGACATTTCAGTAAGGTCATTAAGAGTAAATAGTAGACAAGTATAAATGTGCACAACTGATAAACCGAAATAGCTTTTGTTTTGACATCACCAATGGATATATCGGACAATCCGTTCTTCAGGTATAAGGGAATATACCCGATCACGATAAGAGGTCGAGGAGGAAGTCGTTGAGACCTTTCATTAGAATACCATGAAGGATAAAAAGGACAGAAAGAAGGGCAGTAGTTGGTTGAAAACGGTTCCTTTCGTTGAGACGTTTACTTAGAATATAACGAGAAATTCATTTTTAACCCCCGGGCCCCGTCGCTCACTGATCTCGAAAAAGAGTCGCACGGGGGCACGTTTTACCTACCTTTTAGACAGCGAAATTTTATGGCCGTCTGGCACACCTTCAAGGTATAGGCTACCTACTGCAAAAAATTCCAGCACTCTAGGACCATTTCCCTAGAAGTAGTTCTAAACGGCAAAAGTGGGTCCGGACTGAGGGACGGATGGACGGACAAAACACAAACAATAGCACATTTTTTTTAGTTCTTAAAAAATGCGCTAAAAAGTTTTCATTAAATACGCGTACAGGTAAATTCGTATTGAGGACGATAGCGTATATTTACCCCATTAGAAACGGACGTTCCCAGCGAATTAATTAGAGTTAAGGTGCCGTTTCGATGGAGATCCGATATGGCTGGTTGTCTGGTTGGCTGGATGGCTGGCTGTCCGCCGGAGATCTTAGCAATTACAATAGCTAGAGACTTTTCACTGAAATCTTTTTGCTATAGTGTGTATGTAATGTGCAGATTCTGGTCTATTTTGAATTAGATTGCTCGTAAGATCGATAATTTTAAACTTTGCTAATAAAATACTGATCTGGATACAGGAGTACCAAAAACTCGCTTTAATCATGCATTATGCTGATTTACAACTTGTTTATCCTATTATCTAAAGTGTCATACGAGAAGGATCGTACCAATTTGTAACGTAGTAAAAATCGTTGTAATTTTTCTTGACTTGTATAAATTAATGATTGGTTCTCTGTAAGAAAATCACGTATTTGGCATTAGTAATTTAAAAAATAGTGTCTTAAAGGTACCAATCAGTGTAAACTGGCTGAATAATGCCGTCCTGGATCCTTTAGAATTATCAAAAATGGGCTTATTTAGCAAAGATTTGGTTTCCTTTTATATTTAAGTTTGACATGGTACAGTCATTGAAAAATTCCATGGAAATGGATTCAAATTTGTTAGCAATAAGGAATTTATAAAAAATTTTGCATAAAGGGTTGCCATAATTTTAATGTTCATTGAAATTTAACTAAGAGTATAGCGAAACGTGGCTACGGTATGTGGGTTCAATTTCTAGTTCTCTAGTACTTTATTGGTCTGCAGTCAAACTAGAGCGCCAAATTCCATATTACATCTTGTTCTGGGTTTGGGGGCACTGCACTAATTTCATATCCATTAAAGAGAGAATCACATGGCACTAATTCTATCCAAATCGGTTTAGTGAACAGATTTATTATTAAAGGTATATGTATTTTATTATTTTACGAGGGCTGTATATAGGGTTCCCAACGCTGGAACGTTGCCGTTGCTTGGCGAAATCCGGCAACACCGCCGTGTCCTAGTTCCCCCCGCCAGATCCCGCCCTCGACTCAATTCCTAAATTTTTCGCTGAACGATTTTAATGACTTACCAGTTGTTAGGTATACTTTAGAACTATTGATGATCTTTCCAGAACTCTAGAAAGAGTTCCCCTGTGATGTAATAGGGGCTTCTTAAAGTTTTCCCCCCTTATTTCAAAATATAGATTTTTATGGTTAAAATGTCAGACGCTTTCTCAAAAACTCTAGAACTTTATGAGAAGCCTCCATAACTCTAATTACAATTGCAACATTTTATAAATCACTTGACCCCGTTACAATAAAGAAATTGCTGCTCGGTCTTGAATTTCAATCACTCGGAATGGAGAATGGGCCACTTTCACATTTTTTATTTGTGATAAATCAATGCGAAACATAAAGAAATACCAGTATGCAAAATTTCACAATCCTAAACACACAAACTTTTAAATTATCTAAAGATAAGTTTTTCGCGCGCTTGGAAATCATTTTAAATGCTA